TCTAACTCCTTAGAAATCATTGTGAGAATATCTGGCCCCTGTGGCAATACTCATAGAAATCATTGTGAGGATATCTGGCCCCTGTGGCCATACTCATAGAAATCATTGTGAGAATATCAAGCCCAAGAGGCCACACTCATAGAAATCACAGTGAGTTTGCAGGTGGCTTGCCATTCCTATTTGTGCTTGGCAAAGCTTTCCTGCACCTAGGACACACATTGTTTGTGTCCTAGTTGGATTTCAGTCCATTCTGCTTTTTCTTGCCATCCGCTTTCTTTGGCCTTTCTTTGGCAGTCCTTGAAGCATTTTTTTCTGGCCACCTCTGTTAAAAGTAGGCCTGGAGTCTCAACCTCTGTTAATAGTAGGCCTGGAATCTCAACCTCTGTTAATAGTAGGCCTGGAATCTCAACTTCTGTTAATAGTAGGCCTGCACTCTCAACCCCTTCAAAAATTTTTTTTTAAAAACCTTTCAACTTTGCAATCCTAGTTTTAAAATCGTGTGTTAAGCATCATTCCTATACTAAAAGGTAAAGTTTAGAATGAGCTATAACTATTTATTATGTACACTATACCATGATGTCATTAGGCACTAATAAATCTGTCCCAACACATGCAGACGTTTTAAACAATTATCATAGATGCATATGTGAAATACTGTGTAATTAGGAAAGATACTAGTTTTTTTTTTTAAAATTCTATTTCTCTGCATAATGTCAGAAGAACAAGATTTTCAAAAACCACATTCATATATTAAATATTCATGCCATTTAATTTATTGCCTCAGAGCAGAGATTTTTGTTCTGTATTGTTGTAAATACATCTCTTTGATGCATAAACATTTTGATTTATGAACATGCCTGAACTTCTAATCAGTGTTGTAGCTAGTTGCTCTTTTATTTTGTAAATAAGTAGTATTTTAAATAACATTTATAGTGATATAAGTGATGCATATGTGACAGATGTGAGAATCTGTGTGACAAAATCTCTTATGTTAGAGTGTTTTTTTTTCAAATAGCACATACATAAGTTATTCTGTTCTTTTAGTTTGACTTCAAACCCCCACATTAACACATGTCAAAGAAATGTAGGTCAATGTAAAATATCCTTTTGGTCAGAAATCAGGAACAACATTCTTCCTTTCTCCAGATTAATTAGACACAAACAATTTGTGTCAATATAACAATATAAAGAAGCTTTAATAATAATTTTATAATTATATATTTTTATGACTAGAAAATTCCTTTCTCCAAAATGGTTAAAACAGTTCTAGCAACTCAAAGCTATTTAAACTGTCTTTGAAACAAGTAATAGAGCAACTCCTAACTATTTGAAGTGTCTTTGAAAAAGTTATACATCTTTATTAGAGACTAAGAAACATTTAAATAAATCAGCAACAGTGGGAAAACTAAAGGTGTAGCTCAAAGTATTTATAATAAGTTGTGGTGAATTAAATCTGAAGTTCTCTTCATTGTTTGAATAAATTAAACCAGGAATTAAAATGAATATTTTATGGGTTAATAATGCAGCCGTGAGAACGCTGCCCCTAGGCAACCGTTTCGTCCCAGCTACAGCGTGAACTAGTCGCGTTGTGGAAACCCACTGTGGAATCCCTCTTATAGGGCGTCCGACGCTTTCCCGGGATGGGTGGGGGAAGATATTAGGACGTAAATTTTTCCATCCCAACTCCTGAGAAAGTCGATCGAGTGCACTGTTTAAACGCATAGTGTCGGATCGACTGGGTGCCTCCTCGTTGGGGCGGCCCCCAGGCGGGGTCCTGGTCGAGCGCCCAGGTGAGGGACTTGGGTGAGGGGCCCGTGTGGGGGCCGTCCTGGCGAGTGGGCATCTCCAACGTGCCGCTCCGCGGCCCGATACGTCGGACCGGGGAGGGGTAATTTGGGGGGGGCATAAGAGTCTAGACTCGCCCCGTTGACGCCATTTCTTAATGTAACATGGGTTAACCAGGCATGAAAATAAAGGGTTTCCCAGCCATGAAAATGATGGGTTAAAGAACCATGAAATTAAAATTTAATCAGCAATCATTGGCTTTGTCTTCTCATAGCAACACAACATTTTGTTAAGTCGGATTTATTTGAGAACTCTGCTCAATTATTATGCTAATATTTAAACCTCTGAAAACACAACCAATTGAAGACATTGTGTCTTTACTCTATATATGAAGTCCTAGTTACAGAGATTTCAAGATCCGTTTTTATTCAATTCAGTATTCCTATAAAAGTGATTATCTCATGTTGAATCTACTTTGTTTTAGTGATGTTATAGTGATATTACTGTTGGGGTGAATAAATTCATAACAAAATGGAATTGGTTCACCTTTTCACTGTCCATAGAGGCTAGTTTGTGTGATACAATTAGTCGATAGCTAACGACTGCAACTGAAATTAGAAGTAGTTGAATGTCAGCTCACTCGTTGTGATACTTTTGTTTTATTTGTACAAATTATGTCATCTTTGTTTACTTGATGCCTATGTTGACTAAGCTGTGATGAGATTTGTGTTTAATGAATGATGTACAGGAAATGGATCGAAATTATACAGTGACAGAATGAATAATTGTTTTCATTGTGTTTATACTATTTTATATTTTATGAGGCAGAATGATAATAGAAATGCAAAAGGGATTGAAAGGGAACATTTTTTATTCCAATTTCTTTATCTAATAAATGATTTCTGAAGGTAGCTTGTTATTAATTTTTATTCCCTTTAATTTTCATTGCATGTAAGGTGAGCACATTTATTCCCCTGTCTTTTGAATGTAAGGTGAGCACATTTATTTCCAAATTTGTATGGCTGATTTGAAAAAAAAAGCTGACTTGTGAGAAAATTATGTTCCTGACAAAATTAAGATCATTAAAACTAAAAACCATTCAGGCTAAGGCCAACTTTTTTTCTAACCATTTGACTTTGAAACAATGACTCTGATTGTCCCTCATGAATAGCAACAACACCTGAAAAGGACCCATGTTAAAATTATATTACTAACTAATTGATGACCTAATTATCTCATCTATATATCTGATGCTGGCATGTCAGGCTTCCTTTTCCTTTTCGAAACCGCACTCCCCCAAACTCCAAGTTTTATTTTAAATTAATAGTACTGAGTGAAAATAAAAAAATTATGGCATGCATGTGGAGGCGACTTTTACATTAATCAATAAAGCGACTTTACATTAATCAATAAAGCGCCATGGAAATGGTGTAGGACTATTGTTTAAAGGCTGCCAGGTAGGGTGTTAGGACGTTCTGTAGGCCTATTTCTGAAAATACCTGGACTAGGCTAAAAAAACTGCACCCTGTTAAGCCCTAGTACCTTAATAATTCAATAAATGTCTGGTAGTAACAAAATATAATTTAAACTTGATTTAAAGATATTTCATAAAATATAACTTGTATATACTACGGGTACCTAAATTATTTCATAGTAATATACTTTATATAATATATATAAAAGCCTAAATAAATTAATAGTTACCACTTGGTTCATTCCTTATACACCAAAGTAACAAACTCTTCAGAGTAATATTGCCTATTACTTATATCAAACAGTGGACTGTAGATACCAGTGAATCAAACATAAAACTTGTACTTAATGAATATAATTTTATAGAGCAAATACTCTAATTATACAGTGGGCAACAGCTTTTGGGTGACAAGTGGCCATCAAGGCACTGGGATATAATTCAAATAATATATACAATAGACTACTAATGAAATTAAGAATATATGTTGTGATTTTTTACCACAATTTAAAATTAAAGGAGAAAAAGGGTTTTCCCAAATATACAATAATAAATTTTGGTATACTTGATCAATTTTCTAATCTTTGGTTTAAATCTCCGAAACTAAAGCAAATTTTAATCCAGACCCAAAATTAATTCAACAATTAAGATGGCATCCTACCTTGTGGTTGAAGCTTCAATTTAATAAATTTACATAGCTGGCAAGAATGAAAGATTCAGATGCCCAACGTAATGCCCATTATGGCTAAAAAAATCACATGACATAGACATAAGTAATCCAAGTCATATTCAACAACTCTTTATAAGTCTCATAAAATGTAAATTTAATCTAGTTACACATATGACTGGACAAATCTGTTTAACATAAATAAAATCAGATGTCCTTCAATTTGCTTGGCCAACATAACACATACATTACTACCATGTATGAGCATTCTTTTGATATCTCCATATTTGTTTGTGAGTTTGTGAAATATTTACAAGATGCACAAGGTTTTAAATAAAATGTTTTCTTAAAAATAATTGAAATAAACCTTACAATTAGTATACATTTTATTTAAATGTCCAGGTGATATAGAATTATCAATAAATATAGACAATAATTTTTTTAAATAAAATCTGCTTGTACAAATAATTATCTGCCTGTAACAAAAAATAAATAATTATTTTTTGAAAAATAACATCAAATTAAGAAGCCAAAAATCAAGATTTAGTTGAAACTTATTGGGACATTGGAGAGTATCAACCAATATATTGGAACATTGGAGAGTATCAACCAATATATTGGGACATTGGAGAGTATCAACCAATATATTGGGACATTGGAGAGTATTAACCAATATATTGGGACATTGGAGAGTATCAACCAAGATCTCTTAAAATTATTGAAATTCACTTAAATAATCACAAGAAGCTTGAAACCCTTATTAAAAACAAATTTGTAATCTTCCCTTTAAATATCTTTTAACATAAATTTAATATGTTCTGCTTACCACGGGAATAAAGATGGATAACATAAAAAAATTCATAATACAATCATTCCATTCAAATCTCTTGCTTATTTTAAACTGATCATTAAAAGCTGACTAACTCCGTGTCAGTCTCATTAAAATCTGTTCATAGTTCATAGCAAATTAACAATAAATACATTGACTTGTGTCTGCAGTCATAAATGTCATCACTTTAAATCCAAATGTTTTCTAGACTTGCTTCTTGCAGGTCTTTGATGTTGTCTTTCTTGTGAGCCTACTGAACTGGGTGACAGAAGTGGGGACTTGATCAAATGAATCAGAGCAATGGCCGACAGGTCGGGAGAAAACTGTTTCTTCTCTGGACTACACACTGATGGCTTATGGCACATTGGCGATCTCTGTGTTGGGGTGGTGGGCTGTAAGCCTAATGACACAGCAGAAGCTAGAGGCTTGATCAGGTTTAAGCCTTGGTTTTCCATGGAAAAATCCATCTTGTACACCTGGTTCACTTGTCCATTATCCGTCTTGTACACCTGGTTCACTTGTCCATTATCCATCTTGTACACCTGGTTCACTTGTCCATTTTTAAGAGAAGAACCTGTAGCTATGCAAATGCTGTCATTGGCACCTTGAAGGGAAAATCCTTTCAACAAAGAAGGAACTCTAACCTGAAATCCTTGACTCCCTTCCTCCTGGCTGCTAGCACAATGACGAGTCACTCTTTTAGTGGGAGTCATGATGAAAGCAGGTAAAGAAGCCATTTGTGACAATGAACTGTTGGACACTGTCTCTTGGCTCGATTGAGAAAAACAGCCTGTTGGCACAACTGAAGCATCAGAAAATCTTTCACATTCCTCTGAGACAATCAGTTCTGGATTGTCTCCATGACCAAATGCTTGGCTGTCAAGTCTGCCCATGAAGGAAGTGGACACACTTTTTTTCCTCCTTTTATTTGGAGATTCAGTTTTATCATCCATAAATATCCCTCTCTTCCTGGTCTGTTTGTTTATAAAACTGGAACTACTCTGTGCTAAAGGTTCTCCAAGCAAATCAGAGTCTCCATTATTCTCCTTGCCCAAGTTTAAAGGTGACTCAAGAGTTATCTTTTTCATGGAGTCGCTGTTAGATGGTGATGACGGCGATGATGAGCCAGAATGCAAAGGCGAATTATTTTTAGCACTGCATTTCTTTCTTCTTGCCCATTTATTTATAGAATCTATCTTTTCATTAGAACTAGGCAATGGAATGTGTATGGTAATGGCCGCTGGTGTATTAGAAGCTCTGGATGCACAATTATCTTCAATGCAAGAATCGGATGAACACAGAGAAAAAGCTGAAATTTGTTTATCCCGAGCTTCAGCTTCTGACTTTTTTTTATTCTGCTCTGCTTTGCCAGCTTGGCGTGTTGAACTGTGCCAGGTGTTTCCCATGAAGGAGGGAGACAATGTGACAGGACCTGTAACCGATTGAAGCTCCACTCTACGAGTAATTTTTGTCTTTACTGAAGGTGAACCTTTTAAGATTGATTTAGCAGGAGTCACCTTCTCTGATGACGGAGGACACCTTTCACTACCAGTTGACACTAGACAGCTATCAGAAAATTTGACTTTGCTGGGAGTGCTGAAACTTTTAGAGTGACTTTTCAAATCCATTGAAAATAGTTTCTTGGGTGTAGAAAAGATGTTTTCATCAATTCTGGCTTTTTTGGGTGTCGAAAGAATGTCAGATTTCTGTGCCAGAAGACTCTTATTCCTGGTTGGAGAAAATGTATCAGGTATGATGGCATTACTCCTGTATGGGCTGGCTGGCTCAGGTGTGACTCTCCTTGGGCTTCTGTCTGAAAAGGAAGACCTAAGCCGAGTAGAATGATCAGGTGAACACAAGGCAGACAATTTATTTGAAGCTACTTCTGAGGTCCAAGTTTTTTCTGGAGTTTTTCTTCCTGGTTTTTCAAGGTGAGACAACTTAGATTCGCTCATTGCTAGAATATTTTTAAAACCAAACACTGGTGATGCCCCTTTTGTGGCTTTTCCCTTTGTTGGTGTTAACAATGGACAAGACGAAGTGTCCCAAAGGAGCGGCTTAATGTGAGAACCTTGTTTCTCTGGAGTCTTGTAGCAAGTTGAACTTTGACCTTTTTTAGGAGTTGAAAGCAAGCGGAAATCATTAGCATTTTCCCCATCAAAAATAAGACGAGCATCATGGAGATTTTGACGGCCACAGAATGAACCAGATTGATTGTCTTTAAATTCAAGCTTCTTAACAGATTTCCTTGGGGACCGCCTCAAAGAGGCGGAGTGGTGACTGTCCTTTGCCTTGGATTTAGGTGATGGACTGGAGATGAAGGACCTGACCAGGCGTGTTCTGGGTGACAGTAAAGGGGACTCTCCACGCACTGCACTGGACAATGTACCCTGAGATCTTGAGAAACAGGCCAGAGGTTCTGTGCAAATTTAAATGTAATGTTTATTGGTTTTAAAAAATAAATCAAATTAATTTTAGATGTTTTGCATTGATCTATTTGTAACCACAGTTTATGCTATCACCCTGATTAACTATTGAATAGAGAGTACAATTTGAAACAACTTCTTCAAGCCTCTTGATGTGACGAAGGGGAAGTACAGCGACCAGTACAGTAGGACAGACAAGAGGCTACACCATAGGGGCAGTACAGCCACCACTACAGTAGGACAGACAAGAGGGGCAGTACAGCCACCAGTACAGTAGGACAGACAAGAGGCTGCACCAGAGGGGCAGTACAGCCACCAGTACAGTAGGACAGACAAGAGGCTGCACCAGAGGGGCAGTACAACCACCAGTACAGTAGGATAGACAAGAGGGGCAGTACAACCACCATTACAGTAGGATACACAAGAGGGGCAGTACAACCACCAGTACAGTAGGATACACAAGAGGGGCAGTACAACCACCAGTACAGTAGGATAGACAAGATGCTGCACCTCTCCCAGCTGTACAATTCATGCTCTATAGACAAATAATTTCCATTATTTTCATTCTATCAAAAATATGTATTTTACAATTTGAATGCTTAAATGAAAATACTGCTTACCCTCAGAAGAGTTGGCGGTGGCAGAAGTTTGTGAAAGCTCAATGGACCTGGCGATGCTGCGGGAAGGTTGTGAATTAGAAGAGTAGAAGGATTCTCTGAGTAGATATCTGGCCGGACGGAACAACGCTGTGCCTGCTGGGTGGTCTTCTTCATCATCATCATCTAAAAAAAATTATAAAATATGTAAACATCTGTGCACTCTGATCAACCTTTGATATGTGCATTCTGATTAACATTTGATATGTGCATTCTGATTAAAATTTGATATGTGCATTCTGATCAACATTTGATATGTGCATTCTGATTAACATTTGATATAATAATAACAACAAGAAATAACTGAAATTCTCATTAAATCACATATTAGTTGCCATAAAATTTAGTAAATATAAACTCTCAGGAGAATAACACAACTTTTGATAACAATAATATCTGTTTAATACTTTAATATTAAAAAACTTGGCGGGTAACAGAAATTATTTCAGCGGAGCAACCGTTACGGTGCAGTTAACGTTATAACACAAATACTCAAGTGATAACTTATTACAAATCAGTTACAAAACCAACATTTAAATAATAATCTATTTTCACCTTTCAGTGGGGACTCGGCTATAACCTGTTCTTCAGGATTATTGTTTTCGACTTTTCTCCGTTGCGCCTGACGTTGTAAAAGTCTTTGAGAAGTCTGTTTATGTGAAGGGGTGCCCAGTGCTAAAGTTTTGGGTTTATCTGTCAAGTAAAAATGATGAAGTTTCGAAAGAAACCAGACCAGGAAAATTATACAATTAAAGTCATTCAAACTGATTTCACAGCAACACAATCGTCATTAATAACTGCCAGTATGGGTATAATAATGTGAAACCTGGAACTTAAGGGATAAATATTCAAGCCCTACCTGAGTGTCTGGAACTTTTGTGTTTTTTCTTCCGTCTGGGTGTTGCTTGCTCTTTTGATTTGCTGTGGGTTGCTTTAGCTTTGTCAGAAAATAAATTTCTCTTTGCTTTGCTGATGTCTACTGATGAAGAGAGACCTGTTGATTTTCAAATGAAAGTTATTTCTTAAAAACAATTAGCTTTTGTCTGTGTAAGAAGTGAAAGCCTTCAATAACAAATGGACACATTCCACCAGAATTAATATTTCAGACCTGTTTACCCTCAAACTCTTAAAATCGTACAATATCATCACAAAATCGTTCAATACGTTATCTTAATAGTAAAAAAATAAACATAAAATATATATGATGTATACACCTCATACCAGCCAGAATCGTAAGAGTAAACAGGTCTGATATTTAAATGCCCAATTACGTTATGAGAAAATGAATTGATCCAATTTTCTTTCCAATTACCTCCATGTTTTCTACGAGACGTACGAACTTTAACCTTTTCTTTTGATGCTTTCTTAGTTTCCACCTGCATATTAAATTTAAAAAAGTTAAGATTCTTTTAAACACATCAATGGAGTTTGAATTATTCCTAATACTGCACCATATATCTAAACCCCATTCTTAAATGTGTGTGATCATCTGTTAATCTGCACTTAACACTAAATTTTGGAATTATCCTAAAGTTAAAATAGCTGATCTATGAAGTATTTGTTTACTACATTTTGTTACGAACTAAAATAAAAACTATGGATGAACAAAAGATATCTAAATTTCAAAAGCAAAAAATGAAATGGATTACCTTTAATTTGGGTTTGACTAAAATCTGTCTAGTCTGCCTGAAATCTGAAATACTGGGATGTTGCTTGAACTTGCATCTAGACAGGAAAAAAATACATTCTTTAATACTGCTATGAAAGAAGTGAAAATTCTTGAACAGTTTAGTTGGATTGGCTAGGAAAGGCGCCACTAAAGCTTTTAAGCAATATTCATCAAGATGAAATGTTCACACACATTTATATGAGACAAAACTTTTCAAATGTCCCATTCCTCTTGCTACCCTCTCGGATACTATGATACTACATTTCAGCTAAGAGTTATTTTTATTTAATTCTGTTTCTACTACTCTTTACTTTGTTTTTGTCTGGTTTTAGTGCCCTCTCCTATATTTTTTCTGTTTTAGGTAGGATATGTATATTGATATTATGTAAATTTAATTTATACTTATTTAAATGTGTTTTGTTTGTTTGTACTGATGAAGGCATGTGCCAAAACGTTTAATTCTGTATAATGTATAATTATTATTAAAGCTAACTCATATTGTTCTATTGACACAATTTGTTCGTGTCTTATTAATCTATTTTAAAGCTTTATCGCAGTCCAAAACTTTTTATAATTTGTTTTTACTGCTGTTTGATCACTAATGAAGGCTCCTGCGGATACGTTCAATGTTTTGTTGCGTTCTTTTTTTCAGGTTTTCCCATACTTTGTTTCGCTCATTTCCTTTTTCATATTAAAAATGTTCTGGTTCGGGATGACTTATTAACAGAAGACTACATTTACTAACCTCCTGATTGGTTTTGAGGACTGGTCATATATATGGGAACTAGAGTGCTGACCAATGCTTGTTGAAGATAGTGGACTACATTACTAACCTTCTCATTGGTTGTGAAGAATGGTCAAATAAATGAGAACCAGGCTGTGTAGATCCAGGTGCACTAAATAAACTGTCCTCATTGGTCAAAGATACTGGGTCTGCCCAGACACTACCCGGGGCAGCAAATTCAGCAAGGACTGTTGGGAGGGGAAGCATCAGTTCATCATAGACATCAGCCAGAAGTTGTGGGACAGTAGATGAATAACTAGGAAGAAAGCAGAACATGTTAAACAATATGTTAAAATGTGATGTCATTTTTCATCATCTCCAATTTTCCCTGCATGTTTTAGTCAAGTGTTGAAAATTTCAAAGTAAAATAATTTCACATAGTAATAGCATGCACCTTATGAAATGACAGAGATTTAAAAAAATGTCTTGTTATAAAAGAAATAACACAATTTACTTACCTCATGACAACAATGTTATTTAGAAAATCTAGCAGACTCGTAGCTCCAATCAAAAATGATAATCCTCTCAATAGAAATGCTAACTGCAAGAAAGAGGAAACCATAACTAGGAATTAGACAATTAAAAACAATTGTAGCACAAGACTTTAATATTAATTGTATAGGATTTAATGACGTCCATATCTAGTGACTAAAGACTAGGGTCAAGCTTGTTACTTGCCATTATTGAAATTTAGGACACAAAAGTAATTTTTGTTTGATAAGTTCACCTCATTCTAAGACTCCATTTAGATTATTTCTGAGCTAGATAATTTCCATGTGTATAGAAAAATTTAGAAAGACTTGTACCTCATTAAGAGCATTTTCATGCTGTGTTGCATCGGAATCCCTAAGCAAGGACTTCAGCTCTAGAAGCAGCATAACTTGAAGCTTGTATCTAATTTTAAAAATATTGGAATATTACAAAATAATAGCAGGTCGAGCATGTACAATAAATTAATAAATAACCCATGTCTATTTAATCCATTCTAGGCACCTTTCATAATTCTGAAGTGCAAAATATAAATGAAAACATTAAAATATCATCATTTAATATATAAATAATATAATTTAAAAAAGAAAAATTGATTCTTTTAATATGTTGTAGCTTTATAAACTATGAGAAAAGCTAGTGCACTTGCTCCACAATTTTGGTACTCTGCTCTGTTTGAGATGTCATAGAATACTTCTCCTTCAACTTGGTCGACGTCATCAGTAAATGTTTCTCCATAAAGTGCACAGCTGACTTTTGAGGGTTGCTGGTTTGGGTTGTGGACATGAAAAGAGTGGTGACTGTCACCATGGTTTGAATGGTGCTCTCAATAGCAATGCCAGCCTCTAGCACTTCTTCATACTGCTTCTTGAGGAAACATCCTAAATCCACTTCACTTTTCAAGTTTGAAACATAGTTCCCTGTCATTCATTGAAGGATCAATTATAATATAATTATCACCAAGAATGGAAGAATTAAAAACTTAAGCTTTCAAAATATCCTATTTAAATTTTAAAAATTATGAGGTGCTTTATGAAAGACAAAGTTGAAAGACAAGGTGAAAGACAAAGGTAAAAGACAAAGGTAAAAGATGCATGATTCAAGGTAGGCTGAGCATCCATGAGCCATTGAATATTTGACCTGGATATTTTTTATGACAAAAAGATCTATTTCAGTGCTCCCTCAACATCACAATCTAAATTAAAAAGTGCATTCTTAGTGTGACAGTGAACAGATTTGTAACTCTTGGGCTTGATTGAAACATTGATAATATATTAAACTTAATTAGTTATAATGTATGAATTGGGGAATTGTATGAATTGTATTTACTGCTTTAATATGTTAACAGAACTGGTGGCCGTTGAGGTAGTTGTTGATATTGGCTAATGAATTCAAAGTCCATTAGCACAAAACAATATTTTTTAATGCAAAAGAGACACTTTCTAAGGAACTGAATGAAAAAGAGTGCAAACACATTACAACAAAAATAGTGATCTACCTGTTTCCATGACCACAGACGAAAAGTTCAATTTCTTATCTGGACTTTGAGGTGCAGACAGCACACTGGAATTACTTTCGTCTGCCATAGCAAAGCTGGCACTTCTTGCTTTGTCCACCATTAGCCTGCCACGGCTGAGGTTGGATGATCTCAAATGGCGGACAGTGTGATGAGATGTTATAGAACCTGAATCGGATCCCCCAGAATTAACCTTTGATTCTCGAATAGCTAAATAAAAAAAATATTAAAGAAAATATATTAGGATTTTAAAAACTTACAAGTAAAGAAACTGGAAAGTAAGTTTCTTATTATTATTTCCCGGGTAAATTTCCTTTGACAATTGGAAATGTAAAATCCCAACATTTATAGTTCTAATTAAGTTTTTAAAATCACATGACATAAAAAAGAAGCCCAAATAAGTCTGACAGAATCGCATGGTATTTGAATATTTTGTAAGCTTGGGACTCACCACAGATAGGTGTGCTTGTTGATGGCTGGAAATGTTGAACTAACTCTGGGGGCTGCTTTTCTTTGGCATAGTGTTTTTGAAGCTCTTTCAAAAATGATTTATCCAGTTGGGATCTAGGATTG